CTTGAAGTAAAGTAAGATAAACCCCCTCAGTGGTTAAAGAGCTTTGAAAATATTTCCCGTCGTACATAGAAAGATATGTCTTTAAAACAAATAGGAGATCACGTTTTGGGTGCTTCAGCCCAAATCCTTCAGTAATGTTCTATTGCATGACAAAATCTTTACCTCTGCAAATAAACAAAAAGTATCTGGAAGGAGCATTTCCCAGCTGCTGCCATGGATTTGCCTTCGCATGTGAAGGCAGGAAATTGCAGGAGGTCTCTTGTGACGGGAGACCCATAACCATACACTGTAGAAGTTACTTTATTTCCCATCTTAAACAGAGGCAGAATCTGTAAAAACTCACACTGGTGAGGAGCGAGACCAAACATCTTTCAAATTCACTCTGGATAAAAAAAATTGATCCTTGAAATCTGGAACTGTTCAGAAACCAGGCAGGTTTTGAGTGGATTGCAGAAATCTAACTTACAGTGATGCCACCTTTTGCCAATGCTATGACTTCAGCATCTATAAATTCCATGTTTTCCTTGCAATGAACTCTCTCCTCATAAACTGAGCAGCCTGTGAATCCACAGGCACTGGTTACCTTCCCTGCTCTCTTCTGGCCATTGGTATCTCCAGGAACCAGGGTGGTCGTACACAAATTTCTCAGTTTCCCATCTGTAGGAAAGGGATAACGACGCCTGCCCACCTCTGCGGAGCCCGCTGAGGGCCCTGCAGGGGAAGCGGTGTAGAAGGAAAGCAGATCTCTCTATTCTTGGCGAGCATGAATTTCTGTGGGCTCAGCAGCATGGGCTCAGATGGGTTTGCAAGGAAATTTTCAACTCTAGTTGAAGCCATGGACTTGGACTGAAATTAAAAAAACCCATTAAACTGCCCATGCAGCCCTGGGCTGAGTCACCCTGAGCTAGCTTTAAAACTAACTCAACTTCCACTGTCTACCAGGATGCTCAGCCTTTCTTTTTCTTTTTTTTTTTTCTTTTTTTTTTTTTTTTTTTGCATTTGAACATTTTTCTTGAACCGATGGATGGTGGAGAGCACAAGCTATCCATGGCAGTGTCAGCTCTGACTCAAAGCTGGTCCCCAGGGGTACCACAAGGCTGCTTTCAGCCTCCTGCCAACCGCAGGGCAGGAGTTGTACTGCTCTCGTCAGGTTTTTGAAGAATATGAGTCCATCTTCTTCCCCAGCTTGTTAGGAGATCGGCTAGAATGCAGTGTGATCACCAAACAGTGGGGGGGAAAAAAAAAAAAAAAAAAAAAGAAGAATCCTTTCCCTTTTCTGTTTCCGTTCAGCTGTGCTTAGCTCTTATCTGTGAACAGTTTCCCAGAAATGCAAGAGTGAAAAACACAGAGGCACCCTTAAAGGGGAAAAAAAAAAAAAAGAAAAAAAAAACCAAGAAACAGAGAACCATGTGACTTCAAAAGCTGAGACTGAAGTAATAAACTGTCAGATTTGGTGAGATTCCAAAGAAAACCATGGGAATATGCAACGGGACCCAACTGCGCTGACCCTGCCCTGCCCTGCAATGTCTTTGGGCTGCTGAGATCTCTGGATCTGGAGGGGGACCCTGGGCAGAAAGGCACGGACAATCTTTTATGGACCATGTGGTTTAAGTTATAAGTTGACCTTCTCTCAGATGCAGTGTCTCCAGGGGCATTCAGCTACTTCTGTTTCATACCATCGCTGCCCAAAACTCCTGACTTTCTCTGAAAATGCATCACTGTGGAACTTCCACGCAACCAGACTTTCCAGCACATCTCCCATAACATAGCTGGATGTGTAGCACTCTATACAAATTTGGATGGCTGCAGAACAGTTATTTCCCGGCATTGAGGTGGAATTTGTGCTTTTAGTTTCATAAGAACAATCAAAAAACCTCTCTGCCTAAGCACTGTAGGGACCTGATGGTATGCTGGCTGGGAACGCCCCTGGAAGCACAAAGTAATAAACTCCGTGGGTGCCTTTGGGATGGTGAAACCAGTGCTGGCACACAAGTCCCCCGAGAGCTTGTTTGAGTGTGCCCAACACCCTCATTACATTTACCGGCATTTATCTGACTTTTATTATTATGACTTTTCTGTCCCATAGGGAATGGAAAGAGGAAAAGAAAAATGTTTCTTTATGGGAATGGTAATAAATACATAGTGAAGAGCACATCTTAGTAAATTCAAGCAGGGGTAGACAGTCTGCTGTCCTGCACAGTGGCTAATCACCAGGCTCAGATCTCTCCATTGCTTTTCTTTTCCAGGAGCTGATGAACATAAATCACACCAGCTGTCCCAGGAACTGGGAGCAAATCTGCAGGTCTCTCAGCCAACAACCCTGGCCCTTGGAGTCCCACCATCCTCCTGGTCCCAGAGTCCAGGGCTGTCCAAGCATTGGCTCCCAGGATCGCTTCCAGAGATCGGAGCCTTTGCTGGCAAGGAACAAGCAGCTCCAAACTGAGGAATTTGGATGCTTCACTGTGAAAACAGCGGGTCAAGTTTAAGGTGAAATTCTTGGCCCCCTGCTTTTGTTTCTGATGATTTTTGTAGGACAAAGCTGCACCCTGCTTCAGATCCCTCCTCACCACTTTCTGGTCACCACCTGCCCGAAGCAACGTTTCTGCTTACATTTGCCATCTGGGATGTACAAGCCGTTAAAGATCTGTTAGAAAAAGCAACACAATTTTGCTTTCTTTATTATTGAGAAATCAAAGACCTCATGTGACTTTGTAGATGACTTAACACATTTATAGACCAGGAAGGAAGTGGAGCTGCGCCGCTCGCTTTGCTTTTCAGTGGGGCGGTTGCTGCAAATTCAACCTCATTAACGCCCAGCTGTGCAGAGGGAGCAGACAATGACTGCCCAAATGGCCACCGAGCCCCCCAAATGTTGCTGCTTCAACATCAAAACAGCAACAGTCGCTCTAGGGATCTTCCACATGGTAAGTTACAGGACTGCAAGGGGGGACAGGGAGGGGGATACGAGAAAAGAGAGGTGGAGGTGTAATCTTTGCAGAGGTGTCATCGTTGCAGATCACAAGGTTTCCTGGCTGTTGACTTTTCTGTGTTCCCAAAAGAGGAAAAAAATATTTAAGAGGAATGGACAAAAGAGGAGAAGCTATCTGGGGAAGGGTGGGGGACGGAAGAAATTTATTGTACAGGGAGGGTTTTTTAACTCTATTTTCCCTGGCTCTACCGATTGGAGCTCATGGAAACTCACTCCTGCTTCTCCCTTGCGGGAGCTTTTACCCACGCAGGGGTGTGTAGCTTGTCCAGGGCTCAGCACAGCTACCTGAACCTGGTGGTTAGAAACTGGGCAGCACATCGGCACTGGAAACTGTGGGATGGCTGAAATTATGAGTTGCTGGAGAGAGGAGGGATGTAGGTCCCATTCAAGCAAAGGGCGGATGGGCAAAGCTGCCTTGTTTCTCTCTCTACAGCCAGTTGGACACGATAAGCAGAGTTTTAGTTTCCGTTTGGGTCTGTGGCTGTTCAGCTGCCAGGCAGCTGGCGTAACTGCTCAGGGGTGGGCACAGATGGCAGCGAGCAGCAGAGCCCAGAGGGACGTTTCCTCCCCTCCACCTAGCTGCGCAGAGCTGCTTTCAGGTGGCTTTCGGTCGTACGGAGGATGTGGTTTCTCGCACGTCAGAAGGACTTAAAATAAGCCCATCTGTGGCACTTGGTGTGCACAGTCACGGGCTGGGAGCCTGCGGGGCGATAACGGTTAACAGGGGCTCTGAACCTGCTCCGTGCACAAGAGAAGCAGAATTTTGGGGAGCTGTAGCCTGCAAACACGTGCTGGGTATGGCAGCTGTGTCAGCGTGGGAAGGACGCGCCATGGTCTTCCTGCAGCATCGGTTTGCTTTCCTGGGGCAGCAAGAGCAATCCAAGCTGCCTGAGCAAATCCTCACTGCACTGTAGCCCCCTCCTCACTCACACAAAGCCAAGAGACGCCTCTGACCTGCTGGTTTAGTGGGTTTGACTCCATGACACCATGCCTGCATAGGTTGGTGGAGGATCCAACGCATGAAATGAAAGGCAAAGAAATCTTAGATTTCTTAGATATCAGCTTAGACGCTTTGTCAGGGAGTAAGGTAAAGGGAAAGCATTCGGTGAATGATAGGATTTTACAAACATGCCAGGAGTCAGCAGCGCTGTGGGTTGTTAGAGGTGGAGAGTGATGGGGGTGGCTGTGCTTGGACACAGCATCTCTGCACCTCCCTCGTTTGGCTTGTGGTGCCAGGGAGCACTAGCAACTAACATGCTCTGCAATACCAGATCCTCTAACCCCAAGGCTCTGTGGGTCCCAGGGTGTCTGTACCTACTGCGTCATCGCAGCAAGTTTCTTTTCCACAGAACCCCTTGGGAAACAGTTTGATTTTTGGAGAAGGTTGTCTTGTCTTACTGCTTTAAGAGATAACACAGAATAACAGGTATTTTTTCCCTACCTTTTCTCCACCTTTTTGATCATGTAGCTGCAGATGGGCAGAGGGAGGGAGAAAGAAAAGGGGATTTATAACTCAGCAGTGACTTGGATGATTTCCTACATCAATACTGTTGGTTTGTATCGGTATAAATGATTGCTGTGGGTCCTAGTGATGAATCAAAGTGATGCTGGGTGATAGTAACGCCATCAAACACCAACTCTCAGGCTTTGTGGTGATGTCTTGTCCTCCTATAAATTAGATTTGTCTCACTGCTGATCTCTCCATAGACAGCTGAAATAAATTGTGGGCATCCTCAAACAAACGAGGAAGAAGAAGGAGAGCAACAAGGAGGGGACAGAGCTGTGTGATTAGCAGAGTTTCACTGGGTGTTGCGAGGTGACTTGCAGGTGACTTTCAAAGAAAGCATGGAGCAATTTGTCCTTCTGCTTATTGGCTCCTCCCTGGCATGAAGAAACTCAAGTTATTTGACATTAGCTCCAACAACAAGGCTGGAAAGTTGCTCCTGTGCATACAGCATGGGCAGAAAACCTGCCGTTCCCTTGCTGCTAGTCCTTGATTAGACCCATCGGAGGTCTCAGAAAGCAACATGTCTGTAGCTTAGTCAGCTCTTTGACTCAAGGAGCAGAGTCTCATCTCTGGGACCTCCCCGAGGCTCAGTCCTCACCTGTGGAGGTGACTGCTGTTGGCACAGAGCCGTGATTCATGGCGCTTCACCAGGCTGTAGCTGACCTGAGATGCTCAGCAGACCCCGTGCTGCTCCCTCAGCCTCCTGGAGCATCTCTGTTGTACAAGCAAGAGGGGGAGAAGGAGGCAGCAGGAAGGAGAAAAGATGAAATGTTTTGAAAGGAAACCAAATGGGAGCTAAAACTACTCCTCACTTCATCCTACCCTGCCAAGACCACCACTTTTAAATTAAACAAAGAAAAGGCAAAGCACTGAAAGTGTGACATTTCTATCTGGTGTGATTTGACTCCAAAGCGCTGGGTGTCACCTGCTCTGCTGTCAGAAACCTCCGCAGCACCCCCGTGCACTGTTGGAGCACCATCTCTCTGTCCCCATTGACCCCTGCTCATTATGGCTTCAAGCTCTTCTTGCAGAAACACTGGGTGTGGTGAGAGAAAAAAAAAAAAAAAAAAAGGAGCAGCCGTCACACCAAGGCCCTGTGCATAAAGACAAATTATTTGGAGATTAGTCAAGCTGCACATATTTCAGGAAAAAAAGGCACATGACACCACCTCTAACAGCAGTTTAACCCTACTGCAGCTGCAGGAAAATTATTCACCAGGGAATGGGGGCTGCGTACATCATGCTGTTAAGACTCTGTTTTGCAAGACACCCCCAATCCTCAGTCCTACACTATGTGGCGAAGTCACTTCATTTCCTGGTGTTACAAATCTTTTACCAAGAAACTTGAAGTATTTCTTTTAAATGGAGGCAGCAATAAGGTGAGAGATGTCCTCCAAAAGCTGTAGCTGTGGGAGATAAATGAAGGACAGGCTGGTGGAGGGGCTGGCAGACTGCAGTGAGCTGTGAATTGAGCACCGGGAGGTGAAATTTCTTATTTTAAGCCTGCCTCTCTCCTGTCGTGACATAGCAATAGGAAAGGGAACTGAACAGTCTGAGTAGTCCTGACTGTCTGAAACGGGAACCTTTCGGTTTCTTCTGCAGCCGAAGGGTGACTCTCGAGTGAGAACATACACAGCCCTGCGGAGCAAGGAGTGCCGGGCAGACACCACATCAATCTTTCTTCACCTTCTTCTCAGCTTGAGGCGAGCAGCCCGCTGTAGGGGTTTCGTCACCTTGTATGTACTTTCTCTACAAGAATAAATGAGATTGTCAGATGCCAGGCAGCAGTGTGTCAAACCCAAAGCCAGGCGATGGAGAGGTGTCCTGGTCCTCATGCAGCGCTTGTGATGGAGAGCCGAGGGAAAGACATGCAGATCATTGTCTGTTTTATCTCATTGCAGTTTAGTGGTTTGTTCTTTCTATGCAAAAGCCCTTTTAAATGGAAAGTTTAAACCAACTTTCACTTTGAAAATCTTCTGCTTGATCTTTCAGGCTGGGCTTGGGTTTTCTATCTGACGTGTATTTTACGTGGCTGCAGCTGGTCTGGTTGTGTGGCTCATTTCAACACCTGCACAGAAACCAGGACCACTTCTGCTCCCCTGTTCCCCTCTTTGATAGACATTAGAGATGGTTTTTAATACTGAAGTTTAGGCTCTGGCTCTGCTCTGGCTGTAAATCCATCTGGGATGGGAGCGTTTGGGATTTGGTGTCCTGTGCTCGCTCACTTTTCCAGGAACGAAACTGATGTTAAGGGCTCAGGTCATCCGTTCTGCTCAGGCCTCCCTTCAACAGAAACCTGAAAAAGCAATTTCTTTCTATATTTCCCATGCTGACATCTGAGGGGTTTGACCAACAGCAGCAATAAGGGAAGTGAAATCTCTTTGTGAGCGTGTACATGAAACCCCTCAGACAAGTCAGGGCACTAGAAGTCAGCGTGCAAGGTTAGTTATCCTTCACATCGCAGGGAGACTGTAAGTGTAAAGAAACTTCAGGTCGATGTTATTTCATCATTGACAAGGTTTAGTGCTTCCATGAGACTTCAAACACTGTTACGTGAAACTGAATTCATGTTAACTTTCTTGTGTCCCCATGTAATGAGATCTAGATATTTCTCCTTTTCCTATCAGCTTCACGAAAAAATTGTGAAGATCTTTTACTGCACGGCAAAAAAAATTTAAAAAAGCACAGTGTCTCATGTAGCTGTTGAGCAGTCTGAGACAAGCCAGGAGAAAGGCACAGCCTTCCTTCCAGCTCAGACTCCAGGCAGCAGTTTGAATTCAGAGGGAAGGGTAGTGGTGTGACAGGGTCCCGGTCCCCACCGCAGCAAGAGTGTGGCTTGGCGGATGCTCGCTCTAGAAGCAAAGGGCTCTGAGGGATGTGCTACAGCTCTTCTGGAAACTGCACTTCTACCTTGCGGCACAGCAAGGTGATGAATTTGGTTTTGAAGATAGTTTCTAGGTCTCCTGCAGCTAGCACAGAGTCTGTGTTCAGTTCCCGTCCCTGCTGCAAGCCGTCCCTCCCAGCCTCGCTTCCCCATTTCAGGGCACCGCGATGCCTTTCTTTCCTCTCCTTTTGTTTGCAATGTCAGCCCTAGCGCAGGAGGCATCTGACTATACGTCAGATCTCGTATGGCACCTCCTGCCACTGCTTTGCAAAAGGCAGAAAATATTCTCCCTTCTGCTCACCTAACGCTTAGGTTTGCCTCGTGTCCCTGCCGTCGCTGGTTTTGTGCCGTTTCCCATACGTGAAGTTTGCAAACACCAGCACAGGCCACAGCAGTTCCGGTTCCTCCTTGTCTGCATCGCTTCTTTAACCATTTTTTGAAACGAAAAGCTGCTATAGCTATTGTGGAAAAGTTGTTTCAGCTATATGGTGCATGAGTTTGTGTTGATCTTGGTGGCAGATACAAGCTTGCTTCCTGCACCGGTGTGGGGTTCTGACGTCTCACAGACAGAGGTTGTGCACTCCAGAAAAAACAGCTTCTCTTATTCACCTCTTCATTACAAACTCTTTTTTGTTGATGTCACTTTTTTTGATGGCTCCTGTCCCCAGCAGTCTGCAGAATGGGTGCTCCTAACGCTTCCTTCAGAAGCTGGCAGAAGACAGTTAAACCCAAACCATTAATAAACCGATAACTTTTGCCTCAGTATTTCCTTGTACAGGATTTTAAACCCTTCACCACTGTCTCACTTGGAGACCCATCCTGCATTTAGGACTGTGGCCATTCCATGCTCCCTGGAAACAAATGTATTGATAGGAAGTTGGCCCAAGGTCCATTGAATTGTGTCTTTTGCTTTTGTTCTCCCAGGTTATGAGCGTTCTGCTGCTGATTGAGTATTCCCTGGAGGTGGCGAGTGGGAAGGGCTTCTGCAAAGACCTGGACAAGGATTACTACAGAATCGGTAGGTCACCAGGATGTTGGAAAGCAGCAAGGGTCTGTGGGGTTGAGAGGGAGCCTGAGGTCCTGCATTGGTCCTTCTTTCTTTTTCATGAAAAAAAATTGGGAATGGGTATTCAGAGCAGATGGGCCAAAAGCTCAGATGCAGAGATTAAAATTAGACTCTGAAGACTTGGAATTTGTTTTAGGCCATGGCTGTGTTGGCTTTTTTGGAGACCAATGTGGAGCCCAGAGTCGTCTAAGGCACTCCAGAGAGCCACCCAGCCCCCTTCCCTTCCCCCCCCCACCCGTGTCTCTTTGGCCTCCAACCCCAGATTTTCCCAAGCCCTGGTGGTTTTTTGCAGAACATCAGTTGTCTGGAAGAAGCAGCCAGGCAGTTTCATATCCCACAGATAGTCACAAGCATCACATTCGTCATGGTTGATTGAATTCCTATGGCTCAAGCTTGGCAGGATCTAGCTTAGCTTTCAGAGTCCTGGCAGTATCTCATGCGGGGTGCCATTTAAAAGAAAATAACTCTCCAAACCTCAAATATTACTTCACGAGACTAATCTGGTGTGAAGCTGTCTGGAAGCAGCAAACACAGGGTGCTTTTTCCTTTTCTTAGTCACTTTTCAGTGTAAAACCACAAGCTGAGATAACCCTTCTCCGCTGTGTGCAGAAAGACGTAAACCAGGCTCCCACCCCCTGCGTTGTCTCTCCCTACGGGGAAGGCTCGTAGTCAGAGAAAAATGCAACTCACAGCAGCAAGGACTTGCCTGGTCCCTGCTTTTCCAGCATGTCCTTCCCTTGCTGCAAGCATGCACAGAGTGGCCCCTTGTCAGTGGAGGAAGAGGAAACCAAGTGCAGCAGATTCCTGCACATTCCAAACTCACTTGTCCCCAGGGTAGGAGTCAGACGTAGTGGAAAGCACCAGAACAGGCATCGTCGCTGTCTGGGTGAAGGTATTGCTAACAGATGGGTTCACATTTTTCAAAAGAGGTTTTAGGAGGCACCACTGTGATCCACCAAAGCTGTTTTGAAAAGCATCAACACTGAGCGGAAAATGGAAATTTGGGTGAGTCCTGCTAATATAGGACACCAAGGAAGGGTCTGCTGGGATGGTTCACATCTTTCACACGGGGCATTATTTCCAAAATAGTCCAGTCTGGGTGGGTTGGAGGCTACTTTGATTAGCTACAGTCCACAGAGGTTTCTCGGTGCAGACTTACACGCTGACTGCTTTGGAAAATGCTTTCTGATGAGCTTTCCCATTGGGGCAACACACAATATCCCGAACAAGCTCTAAAACCCGGCTGCTTTCTGGGTGTATGGGATAAGCACAACAAAGGTAGGAGAATCCAGTTTTCCATTTATGTAGTTTCTAGTCTTAATTTTACAGATAAAAGCTGAAGAACATAATGCACGTGTGACTTTAAGGTCTTCCTCCCTTGTTTGGGTTTTTTGTAGGTTTTTGGTTTTGTTTTGTTTGACGTACCTGGCTTGGACATGGACATAGTTGGAAATATTTTTTCCTGATGGTGGAGCACGCACACGTGTTCTGACTAATATAGTGATCTGAACTGCTGAAAATTGAACATGATATCTGCAGATCAGAATACTTTCCCATAGATACAGTTATGTAAAAATTACAATTTTTTTCATTATTTTTTGCAGAAAGATCATCCAAGGCCAATAAGTCTTATTTTTCAAGTATCTAAATGAAATGTTCTTTAAAGAAAAATAAACAAAGCGTTGAGACAGATTTTTCAGATAATTCCCATATGAAACCACTATATGCTTTCTAAGCAAGATGTACATTTCTGCAAATCTGGAGGGTTTTCTTTAAGACTATAACCATTCTGGGTGAAATTGGCCCCGTTTTTAACAACCCTCCCTCTTCCCACACAAGCAAAATGACAGGTCTTCCCCCTCCCCTCTCTTCCACTGCCTCCTACACAAAAAAGGAACATTTTATAATGAAATCCCCAGCACTTCCACTTGGCTTCTCTTCCCAAGTGTTTCAAAGGGCTTTGCTTGGGAGATTGTGATTGTAGTTGGAATAAACACAGTGCAACCCTTCTATTTCCAGAAACTAGCAGGGAAGCAATGTAGCAAAGCAGTACAAAAAGTTCAATCTGACTTCAAAACCCAGATGGAAGAGTTGGAGAACAATTTGAGGAGAGGTTCTGTCGAAGCCCTCAGCATCTGCTGCTCTATTTGTAAATCCTGCCAGATTAAAGCACGCCTCAGAATATATAATGCTAACACTGTAGTCGTGGCCTGAGAATATAAACAAGGCAAGATTTATGGGAAAATGCTTTTCACATGATACAGGAGCAAAAAAAAAGATACATATAGGAGTTCTTTATAAGGAATCAGAGCTCCCTCAAGATTTCTCAGCAGTATGTTTTGCTGCCTTAAGAAGAGGGTATGGGATGCGCCTCCACTTCCACAGGTATGGTCAGGGAGGGAAAGAATGGGGATTGTTGTAGGTTTTTGAGATTGCCAGGGTAATGGGAAGGGTGACTGGGTCAGCCGCCCTTAGAAGAGGGATGCTCTGTCCCTTGCAGCCTGCTACTCCTTGCTGTCTTGTCTTAGAAGATGTCCCAGGCAGCACAGAGTGCTCCTCTGAAATTTGATTTCCAATTAAAGTTGACCAAGAAATTAATATAAGACCTGCTGGAAATGTTGGATTAAAATGGGAAGAAGATTCAGGTTTTTCTTTGCCTTTGGGAGCCTTGAAGATGATTTTCCCACCCCTGGTGGGGTCACTGCCAGGATGCTGGTTCATCTGAAGTAGATCTAAATTTACTATCTAACTAATATTTAAGAAACAACACAAGATTAATCTGGCCAGGCAAAGGGAACAGGAGACAAACTTTGCTGCATAGTGATTTGGGGCATTCAGCTGTGATTTGGAAGAGCATCTCTATGCTCTATCTCATGTACAACAGAAATTTGGATGTGCATTTCCCCATGCAGCCTCCCCCATTTCCAGTCTAGTTGAAATCTCATCCTGGAGCTGAGAAGCCTTCCTAGCAAAAGTCTTCTTGGCAGTACTTCATTCCTGAAAGCATATGAGCTTTGGCAGACTAGCTTTTCCTGCTGGAAAAATAAAACCAAAAGGAATCCCCCCCCAAAACATTTCAATTAAAAACCCTTGACCACTTCTAAGCCACTAACGTGAATGGTTTTATGCCTTGAGAAGGTTACACCCCACTGCTTGCTATAGGTCAGTACTTTAGGATGTCTTCAATTCCTGTCTGTGTACAGTCTGAGTGTTAATCAATTTTAGTTTTCATTAATGACTATAAAAATTGCCACTATGGACAAAGTACAACTGGAAAAGTCATTTCAATTTCTGTCCAGTCAGCCAAGAAAAATACCTCGGTTATGCCTGAAGACCTGTGTGCACAGCATATCCTGTGCATGCCACATCCTATGCAAAAAATACCCTCTCCTCCTCTGATGAAAAGCAGATCAGGCTAAAGGGACCAGGAGGCTTCTTTCCCTTGCTGGTCCTGCCCATCCGTTGAATGCAGCTCTCCAGAAACAACTCCCTGCAGCTTATCAGCAGCACCAAATCAAGCACTGCCATCCTTGATGCTCTGTGAGTGCAACTGTTAAACCACAGCGTTATGAGCCCGGTTTGGATTTCCCATGCCAGTTTATTGGGGCATGAAATAGAAAGGGGTTTGTCTTGCATTCATGGGAAATATTAGGAGTCATTCAACATCCCTCCTGGCTACACTCAGGGCACAAAACCCTGATGTGAAGTTCATAAAAAATAGACATTTGGCAAATAAAGGCTCTCTCATCCTGTTGGATGGGTGGGGTTTTTTGGTACTGCTTGCTAGCATTGCAAACATCCAGAGCAGCTCTGCAGAGCCCCCGGTGTATGGCCCCATTCTGGTTACACCACATCCCCAAGAAAACGGCATTTACTTCACAGCACAGAGATATTCCTTCTCTTTAAATTTCCTGGGATCTCTGGGAGACTCAGGTAGCCTCAGAGAATTCGAGTAAGAAAAAGCATAAGGAAGGGCATGGGTTTTTATTTGTTGCTGCTGTTTTTTTCCCCATATTCTTTTGGAAAATGGTGCACCCCAGAGGGGACAAGCTCTCAGCACACTCTCTGCCAGCAATAAAGTACCGCCGACAGTTTGGAGGGGGCTGTGGAACTGAAATAGTCTTGTAGGTAGGATATTCTAGGGCTTAAAGGAGTGAAGCAGGGCTTGTGGGGAGCAACATTTCTTCCCTGCCTGATTTTGCAATCATGGAATCAGAACAAAAGTAAAGAGAATCTCTGGAGGTCTCCAGTCCAACCTCCTACTTGAAACGGGGCTGACTCCAAAGCTGGGGTGGCTTGCCCAGGGCTTTGTCCAGTCGAGGTTTGTAGATTTCCCAAAATTACAATTTCACAAACCTCTCTGTATCCCTGTTCAAGGCTGTATCATTCATTGTAATATTTTTCTGCCTTTTATCTGGAGTTTCTTTTATTTTCCAATTGCCTTTTATCTTGCAATAACAGCCTCAAAGAGCCAGTGTAACTTCTACAGGGACAAATCCTGCCATCCTTGGAATACTCTGGTACTTTTTAAGGTGCTGTAGAGGAAAACAGGTTATTCCTGAGATAGGCACATAGATGAACATGCTGGAAGAACAAAGGGGAAAACCGTGGAATGATGCCCCTTTGTCTGAGATTATACAGGTGCTCCAGCTTGGTTCAAAATTCCCAAATTTTGCCCTTTTCTGAGGGTTTTTAAGGACAAAAGAGACAAACATTCACTCTAGAAAGGCCAACTAAGCATGAAGGGAAATACAGAAGAGACTTAAAAAATTTACCATCTTATATTTTCAAACAAGAGATGCTGAGCATGGGAAGAGCCTGTTAGCCACAGTAACCTGGTCTCTAGGGTCTGCTGTGGCTACAGGGATCTACTGCTGCTCTTGGAAAATAACTTGCCACTCTGCCAGCCCTTGCAAAGTATTTCAGGTGGCATCCGGCCTCTCTCTACCACGTACTGCATTCCCATCTCATGGAGGGTTTGCACAGGCAGGACTAAAAGCCATCAGCTCCCATCTGCTAAATATGTTCTCACAAAGGCAGAAGTTATTTTGGTAAAGTAAAATCTTTGATTACCGAGATCAAATCTCTTGGTGCTAAAACATCCCCAGAACAGAGAAATATTTGTTGCAAACAAATAGAAGGCAGACAGTGCGTGGAAAGTTGTTTTCTCTTGGTTTTCCTTTTCTTTCCAACCCTTTGTGTCTGTAGGGTTGCAGACTTTTTGTGTCTTTGTTATTTTGTTTAGGCTTTTTTTGATCTGGGCTTTGCTTGGAAAATTCAGCTGGATTCTGCCAGCAATTAGCCTGCAGAAGGAACAGACAGTTGCCCAATTAATTAGCGAGCCTGCCGAGAGAGCTGGAGCATGAGACCGTGCAGAAAGAGGCAGAAAAACACAGCTGTCTTGAATCTGAGAAAACACCGTGCTAAAGAGATAAATCCTCTCTGGGGCAAACTTCTCATTGCTGGTTCTGGGAGAAAAACCAGGGAAAAGGGCTTCAGGCAGCTTGGGGTTTAATGGGACCGGGACTGTTCCTACAGGGGCTGAGTCTGTCTTCTTTCTTAAACTCTTTTTTGTTTTGAGTTTTGGCTCATTGCTCACTAGAACACAGCCTTGTCTCTCCAGTCTTGCTGCTGAGAAGTGGGTTTGGTGTTCTGCCTTGAAGCTGAGGCTTTTCCCACGGCTCCTGAGAGCTGCAGAGCTGTGAGCAGCCTCTTCGCACTAAAGGCCGTTCACCATCGCCCTCTCCATTCTCATTTGGGGTTTCGTTCTTTGCTCATTCCTAAGACTTCTTCTTCTGCATTTCAGTTCTCAGTACTTTGCGGTAAATGGATGCTGCACTTGGGTTTTTATCAGGTTATAAGTAAAATTTATTTTCTTGTTTCGTGCCATCAAAACTCTTTTTTTCCTGATGTGGGGTTAAGTGTTTGTTGGGTACTTTTGATCACTCCATTAGGTCTTGCGTGTCTGACACCTCCATGTGCAGCAGCTCACGTAGTGTTGCTCCCTCTCTTAAGATAACCCTTTTTTTGCCTCTTTGAGCGATGCAGCCTTCTCAGAGGGTTTTACCCTTTGAGCCCCATAAAGGAGGATGCTTCTCATGCTCAGGGAAGGAAGTGCTGGTCAGAGCTTCTTTCCAGACCAAAGGTTCCTCATCATTTCTAGATGAGACTCAAGTGCATCGCTAATTCTTGAGAAGATAGTAAGGGAAGTTAAAATATCTTTTGTATCAATGCATTTAAATTAAATAAAGTGCATTCTGCTAGCAGAATGAGGATGTGAGGAGTGTTGCTGGTGGTGCCACCAGCCCTCACTCGCTGCCAGATGTGGCTCAGCCCAGCTGTCAGGCAGGTCTTCTACAACCCTGGAAAGGCTCCAGAGCTGCTCAGCATCATCTTTGGTCCTTTTTTCAGCTGGCATTTGTCCATACCCACACTGCTCAGCAGAGCCCAGATGCAGTACTTGATGGTTTGCGTACGCTGCAGCTGCTGCATCTAATGAGCCCTCATCTCCTGCCAGATGTTGTGGGCATCACTGGGTGGTAGATCTGCCCTTCTCCAGCATGGCTCTCCCTCTGAACTGGGATGACTCTTTGCATTTGCTCCCTCAAACATACCTGAATTATGGTATAGCTGTGACTGCTCTGGTGCAAATGTTTTGTTGCTGCAAACAGCAGTGTTGGTATTACGTGCCTGAAAAAGAGGGATGGGTTTCTCTGCCTCAAGGTCCTTGGAAATTATTTTTTTCTCTTGTCAGCAAAGCTCGGAGGTAAGTTAAGGACACTTGGGTGTATGCCCGAACACCGAAATACTCCCCCACCCTCTAAAAATGTGATGTGGTACCAAAGCTATAGGCAAGCACTCAAAGCTGGAGGAGATGGAGGGGCGTTTTAATGGGAAAAAAAAAAATGGGTAATATGGAGCAGTGAAGGATTTCAGGGCAGCTGGAATAAATCAGGGATCCCAACAGGCTAAAGCACAATTTCTAGATTTCTTTATGAAAGCAAGTGAAATGCGTAATGGAAAAAATACTTAGGCACTAAATTTATTTAATAGCCACGGAATAAATTGGGCAGTTGGCAGGGGGGAAGTGAACCAGTAATCAAACATTTCTAATTATCAAGAAATGTACTTATGGAAAGGATCAGTTACTTTAAAAAAGTCAGAAGAGTTAAAAGTTTGGCTCTTTTCTAATAAAATTAAACCCTTTATTCAAGCACATGGGAGTTGGAGACCGCAAACAGACTGTTGCTATTTTAAACTCAGGTAAAGCAATAAGAAAGAAATTGGAGAGCGAGTTGGAGGAGGCACTGTGAAAGACTGTACATTATGCAGGGGGGGATAACGAAAATAGTGCTATTTTACCTTTGGAGAGAACTGCCTTTTTTTTTATTTTATTTTGAGAAGCAAACCAACATTACCAAAAAAAACCAAAAAACAAAAAACCTTACACTGTCTAAACTGCTGCAAAGACCAAATGTGTAGCTTTGGTAGTCATCACCAGGGCAGGGTGCAGTACCAAGAGGGAAAATTGCTTCCTGGGATCTGTTCAGTAGGAAGGTACGTGTGGGTACGAGATCACCTTCCTGCACCCGACAGCTGACAAAGATTACCTGCAGCCCTGTAGGTAAAACTGGCTCAAGTTGTTCTCCTCACATATTTATTTTTAATGTCTGTGTTGCACCCTACAGCTACAGAGAGCGGAGGTGAGATATTTCACCCTGAAACTCTGTGGGCCACACCGGCGGTGGGTGGTTAAAACTCATGATTCTTGTCTGCTGGAGAATCTTGCAGATCTTTCACCAGATTTTGCTGTTGGTTACTTTATCTGTCTTTGAGTCTCAAAATAATTTCTAACTCAGACTTATTAATCATTAGCTAAAAGGACTCTGCCTTTTTTTCTACTTCATTTTACCTTAATACTGTAGCCTAGGGTGTTTACAATTTCAGTCCAGGCAACAGAGGCTTTTGGCTCCCATGTGCCTGAGCTGACAGCCTGCTCAACCGGCAGCTAAAGAAACAGAAAATTCGAAGACAGATGAAAAAGTGGATGTAGAAAGGGAAAAGAGGGTTACCCTCTCTCGTGAGACCCCCCCTGCAGTGCTG